AATAAAATAAAATAAAATAAAATAAAATAAAATAAAATAAAATAAAACCAGAAGATGTTGGGGCCATGCAAATATTTGTTGAGCTAGCTAAAGGATTATATGTGAAATGACTCCCATCTCCTAAGAATACTGGTTTTATTGAGGTTTCATTTTGTGGGGTTTTTAAAAATATTTTTTTAATGTTTCTTCATTTTTGAGAGACAGAGTGCAAGCAGAGGTGGGGCAGAGAGAGACTGAGACACAGAATCTGAAGCCTGCTCCAGGCTCTGAGCTGTCAGCACAGAGATGGATGTGGGGCTCGAACTCACGAACCAGGAGATCATGACCTAAATGGAATTTGGCCAGCTAATTGACTGAGCAACCCAGGAGCCTTGTGGGTTTTTTTTTAAAACAACATACTACTCCATTAGAAACAATAGGGTATTAACCAGCATAGCCCTGTGATTGTTTGGTTTGTTCTTTACCCCATTGGAGATGTTCCTGAGCCCTAAAAAGACAGACCAACATTCACAGAAATAGACAGTACTAAGCAAAAAGGAAATAGTTCATCCATTCCCTTTTACTAATTATTTTCCTACATGCCCACCACTCTTCTGATCATACTAGTTTCTTTTATTCTTCAGTATCCCTTTCAAACATGCCTCAGTGTTTCTCACGTTTCTTTCCTCAATAACCCATTCCTTTATGCAACCAGCCTTTCCCATATCTTCAACTATCAACTCCACAAAAATAATATTTAACCATCTCAGATCTTTATGGAGGACAGATAAAGGAGGGAGAGAATAAAGAGGATAAGGGATGGAGGGACAATTTATTCCTAAAATCTTTTCCCCCACCTTCCCCCAGAGTTACACATCCCTTTTTCCAACCCTAAGCTGGACATGCCTACCTGAATTACCCACACACAACCTCAAATAAATGCACGTTAGAACCATGTTTTTAAAAAACAGTTTTGAGGGGCGCCTGGGTGGCGCAGTCGGTTAAGCGTCCGACTTCAGCCAGGTCACGATCTCGCGGTCCGTGAGTTCGAGCCCCGCGTCGGGCTCTGGGCTGATGGCTCAGAGCCTGGAGCCTGTTTCCGATTCTGTGTCTCTCTCTCTCTCTGCCCCTCCCCCGTTCATGCTCTGTCTCTCTCTGTCCCAAAAATAAATAAACGTTGAAAAAAAAAATTAAAAAAAAAAAGTTTTGAGATATAACTGAGATAAAATAAGCTGCACATATTTTAAGTGTGTAATTTGTTGAATTTTGACATATGGTTATACTTGTGAAACCATCACTGCAATCAAGATAGTAAACAATGGATTAGGGCCCCAAATTTCTTCAGGTCCCTTTGGAATCCCTTCCTTTCCCACTTTTCTGTGCTCCTACACCCTACACACCTCCCCAAACAAACTGATCTGCTGTTATTGTTGACTGTATCCACAATTCATTCCTTTTTATTGTTGCTACAATGGCATTGTATAAATATGCTACCATGTGTTTATCCATTTACCCATTGATGGAAATTTGGGTTGCTTATCACTTAGGGGCTACAAAGCTGTTATAAACATTTCTGTGCAAATCTTTACAAGGACATAATTCCTTTTTTTTTTTAATTTTTTTAAGTTTATTTATTTGAGAGAGAGAGAGAATCCAAGTCTCATGAACCCTGAGATCACGACCTGAGCTGAAATTAAGAGTCAGATGCTCAACCAACTGAGCCACTCAGTTGCTCATCCTTTTCTCTTGGGTAAATAAAAATCTTGGAGTGGAATGGTTGGGTCATGTAGTAGATGTATACTTAACTTCGCTGTTGTTGTTGTTGTTGTTGTTGTTGTTGTTGTTGTTGTTGTTGTGGGTTGGTGAATAAGCTTATTACTGTCTTTATCCAAAAAATCTTCATAGAAAATTGTGGTTTGGTTTATTAGCTCTCAGCAGCCCACTCCTAAGCTCTAAGGAAGTTTGCCTTCTTCTGAGCTACCTGATCTTTCTTCTGGGCAAGAGACATTTGGGGACAATTCCACCTCTTCTTTTTAACTTCTTTCTTAGGCTCCTTCTCATAGACTGGATTCTCTCATATAGCAGCAGGAGCTTTCTTATAAGCATCTGATTCTTGTAAGCATCTCATCTTCTTCCCGTAGGTACTGCATATAATCTGTAACGTTTTGACCCATGATGTGCTTCCGATGTCCTTCTGCATTGAATTCCTTGCTTTCTGAATCATAACCAGGAAATCATTTGGTACTGTGAGGAATAGACAAGCCTCCATCCACAGCTCCCTTGAGGACCCCCAAAATTTTAGATCTCCAGTAGTATTTCTGGCAAGCCCTGCATCCAAATAGCAAGTGAAGGCACCAGGTTGATCATCAATACTTTCCACACTGCAGTCATCTCTAGTCACTTCTACTTGGCCTTCATAGATCTTATCCACACCAAACCTATGGAGAAGCCTGCAGGCCAGCAGCAGGCCAGTACAATATGCTGCAACATAACTTGTCAGGCCAACCTTCACACCATACTTTGGGAGTTCATGAGCATAAGCTGCACAAACTATCATGTCTCCTTCCATACGGGCATAAACAATCTGACAAATGATGTCTCTGTTGCTTACACGAAATATCCTGTATTTAGGTGTGTTGTACTTATTTTTATCCTGAATTACCAAGCATTTCCGGGCATAGTAATCAGTTTTAACTTCTTGTCTTCTTCTAAATTTCACTTGGTATCTCTTGAAGTAAGCCATATTCTTGATAACTTTAACAAACCCCATCCTGCACAACAGAGACCGGCATCACCAGCTTGCCAAAGACCAGCAGGCTCAGCCATATTTTTAACATTTTTAAGTAACTGCCCAACTGTTTTCCAAAGTGTTCATACATTTTACATTCCTACCAGTAGTATGTGAGAGTTCTAGTTTCTCCACATCCTCTCCAACACTTGGTGGGGTCAATCTTTTTAATTTTAGTCATTCTGAGAGCTATGTAGTGATATCTCATAGTTTCTAATTTGCATTTCTCCAATAAGTCATTTGGGGAAATCGCAGGGGTCAGCACATCTGGAGTGCAATGGATGAGCCTCGCCCTGGGAGAACTACCTTTGTGATCATGGTGTCTCCCCTACCAGGTAAGTTTTCTATTAGCCATATTTTCATGTAATTTCTTGCCATCTGTAGATCTTCTTTGGTGAAGTCTATTCAAATCTTTTGTCCATTTTTATTGGGTTTTCTTATTATTGAGTTTTGAGTGTTCTTTATATATTCTAGAATCAAGTCCGTTAGTAAATATATGCTTCCCAAAGATTTCCTCCCAGTCTGTGGCCTTGTCTTTTCATGCTCTCCTGTGTCATCTGAAGAACAGAAATTTTAGATTTTGAAGAAGTCTAATGTATCAATTTATCCTTTTATTCAGTGATTTTGGTATTTTTTTCTAAGAAGTATTGTCTGATTCAAGTTCACAAAGATTTTCTACCATGTTTTCTTCTAGAATTTTTATAGTGTTAGGTTTTACATTTAGGCATATGATCCATTTTGAATTCGTTTTTATAAATGGTGCACAGTATGGATCAAAGTTTCTTGTTTGTTTGTTTGTGTTTTTAATATAAATATCCATGGGTGCCTGGCTGGCTCAGTTTGTGGAGCACGTCACTCTTGGTCTCAGGGTTGTGGGTTCAAGCCCCATATTGGGTGTAGAAGTTAGTTAAAAATAAAATCTTTAAAAAAATAAAATAATAGACATCCAATTATGCCCACACTATTTGGTTGAAAAGGCTATCCTTTACCCATTGCATTGCCTTTGCTCTGATATAAAAAAAAAAAAAAATCAATTGTTTGTAATGTATGGGTCTATTTCAGAACTCTCTATTCTGTTCCTTTGATGTAACTGTCCATTTCCATGCCAATACCACATTGTGTTGGTGACAACAGCTTAATAATAATGTTTAAAATCAAGTAGTGTACCCCTCCAACTTTCTTCTTACTATTTTAAGGTTGCTTTAATTATTTTAAGTCCTTGGCATTCCCATATGAATGTTACAATCAGCTTACCAATTTCGAACCAGAACAGTCTGAGATTCTTATTAGTATTGCATTGAATGTATAAATCAGTTTGTAGAGTACTGATACCTTAACAATATTGAGCCTTCCAGGCCATTTACAAGGCATAGCTCTCCACTTCTTGAAATTTTCTTTACTTCTGTCAGCAATATTTAGTAATTTCCAGTGTACAGGTCTTTCACATATTTGGTCAGATTTACCCCTAAATGATTGATAATTTTTTATGCTATTATAAATGGTACTTTAATTTCAAACTCCAATTGTTTGTTGCTTGGTATATGGAAATACAATTTCCTGTTACTGAGATTCAATGTATCTTAAATAACCAATATACATTAAAATTATAAAAAGTCTGGGGCGCTTGGGTGGCTCAGTCGGTTAAGCGGCCGAGTTCAGCTCAGGTCATGATCTCGCGGTCCGTGAGTTCAAGCCCCGCGTTGGGCTCTGTGCTGGCAGCTCAGAGCCTGAAGCCTGTTTCAGATTCTGTGTCTCCCTTTCTCTGACTCTCCCCCGTACATGCTCTGTCTCTCTGTCTCAAAAATAAATAAACGTTTTAAAAAAGTATAAAAAGTCTGGCATGTAACAAGGGATATATGTGTTTTACAAGCATCAGCAAGATCTGATAATGAATTAATTCTATTGTATGTGTATGGCAGGTGTGAAGAAGAGCTAATGGTCAAAAATAAAAGATATTTGAGAGTTCTGAGATAACATGTGGTGGTAATCTTATTAACCAAAATGGTGACAATAGGGTAAATTCACTTCATAGAGAAATTTCGGGACATTGTGTGGCAATGTCTTTTTTGAAATCAAGATAGAAAAATCTGGCAAGTAATTGGAAACTAGACTGTGTTCCTTTGGTGCTTTTGGGCTCCAAGGAAGGCAACTACGTAATCTTGAACCTTCACTGCTCAACTTCCCAGAGTTATAACATGCTGATGTAAACTGCAGATCTTTAAGGTGAGTGGAGTGGGAAGTGCCCATCACTTCCTAAATTTATTTCCTCATGAAACTCTTATTGGTGAGGAGAAACAAACCTAGTGCTCAGAGATACTCTTTGGAAAACAACACTCTAAATGACAGAGAATTACGGTATTATATCATGTATCAGCTGCTTGAAAGCCTCCAACTCTTGCACTTGCTCAACTCATCCTGTCTTCCAGTATTTAAGCAAATTGGCTCAAACCTTCATTCCACATATATTGGGAAAACTGGTATCCTTTCTAATATGTCTGGGTGCCTGGTGGGGGCTACACATTTCTTTCTTTCTTTTTTTTTTTTTTTAATGTTTATTTTTGAGATAGAGAAAGAGGGAGGGGAAGGGAGAGAGAGAGAACAAGTCAGGGAGTGGCAGAGAGAGAAGGAGACGCAGAATCTGAAGCAGGCTCCAAGCTCTGAGCTGTCAGTACAGGGCCCGATGTGGGGCTTGAACCCACAGATCACGAGATCATGACCTGAGCCGAAGTCAGAAGCTCAACCGACTGTGCCACCCAGGTGTGGGGGCTACATTTCAACTGAGTTCCTGCTTCCACTAAATTATTGATATCTATTCTGAATTTCACTTTCTTCCTTATATCAAGCTGATGGGCCCTCCTTAATCCCCTTTCTTTCTGGAACACTACTGACTCAAAGATGAGGGTATGAATGGTACAATAGAGAGGAGTTGAACCCTGTGTGACACAGTCAACAAAAAATTGAGAATTAGAAATCCCCATTAATTTAAAATGCTCTTAACTATCCCTGCTTCCAGGAAAGTTACACTGGTTGTCTTTTATATTTAAACTCTTCTTTCTCATATTCCTAGGCCCCCCTTTGTCTCCCCCCCTTTGTCTCATCTCCTCTCCTGGCTCACCCCAACCCCAAGTAACTCTCTATCTCACTTCCACCTAGGGAAGGTCCTGAGGGGCAGATTTTCCACAACCATACAAGCTGGTCAGAGGCAGTTTGAGATGGTTCCCTCCCCTCCACAGAATTCCACCACCAGTATTGATTCTATAGGCCATTTTTCCTCTTACCACAATTTGTAGGGCACTACAACACTGCTCTGATCCTCCCCCATTGTGATGTCTCTCTAGACATCCCTAATGTTGCCTGTCTTCCCACATTCAACTTCCCCTCAAAGGAAAGAGTTGATGACTTGGTCACTATCTTGTGTCAAGAGTCCCTATTGCATGTCTTTTTCCTAAGGTACCTAATCCTCATTCAATCATCCTGGCCAAGGTCAAAACTCATAATGCTACAATCCATAAAGAACTTCTCATTTTGCTCAGAAGTAAGATGGAAGAAAGGGAAGAGGCAGAAGGATAAAAGCATAGAGTTATAGTGTTTGTTGGCCCATTTAAGATAATTGAGAGTCCATTCATCTTTAAGAGAAAGACAATGACAAAGAAGTCAAATGATACATTCCAGGTAACATGAGGATTGACAGAGAATTGACTTGGACCAGAGTCTCCTCACTCCAAATCCACTCACAATACCCTTCCACCTGAGAAACAAGTAACTTTAAAACTTTTTTGGCCACAACTCACAGTAAGAAACATATTTTACATCAGGACAAGCACACACACACATTATTGATAACCTTTTACACAGCTCTTACTATGTGCATATGTGTGTATGTGTGTAGATATATAGATCTGTGTGTATATCTGTGTGTGTGAATAGATGGATAGGTAAACAGAGAGAAAGGGATTTATAAATTCTAAGCTCTTTACATATGTTAACTCACTTAATTCTCACAATTCTGTGAGGTAGGTACTTTTATTACCTTAATTTTCCAGATGAGTAAACTGAGGCACATAGAAACTTGTACAAGACAAAGAGCCAAGCCAGGATTTTAACACACACAACATGGCTCCAGAGTCTATGCCCTTAATCATTACACATACTATCTTTCATGTGTGTTACACATGTAGGAATATATTTATGTATACACATATATGTGTGTGATATTTCATAAAACAATACTTATCTTACTCCCTGTGATGCACTTTCATTAAAAAAATTTTTTTAATTGACTGAAACCCACTAAATTGATTTACAACCCACATTTTAAAACATTTGAAAAAACACTGCTAAACTAACCAGGCTAGGTTTCCTTTCCAGATCTTCCTTTTAGAAAAGAAGGGAGACAAGTATAAAGACAAATATAAAATGATCACTAAGTAAAAGAGGGAAACCTCCAAGTTTCCGCCTCATGGGAAGACAGTTTTAATATCTGTCACTTAGGAGAGAAAAGAAGAGATGGAGAAATGGGTATTAGTGAGTAAATATGCCTACAAGTCAGACAAGGAGAAACAATTCCCTAAACCTTGAGCTCATCATAACAGCACAGCTTTCATATTAGTACACACCTGACCTATTTTTAAATCAACCAATCCTATCTGCAAAAGATTAACTTCAACAAATATTTTTTACGTTAATAAAAGTAGTACAACACCACTTTAGTTCTTACTATGTGTCAGGATCATTTTAAGCACCTTACATGTTAATTAACTAACTTATTAAGTCTCACTATTCTATATGGTGGGTGCTATTATTAAACCAGTTTATAGATGAGGACATTTAAGACTTGTCTGTGATCACACAGCTACTAATTGCAAAGATGGGTTTTACCTTAGCTCAAATCTAACAGCTGTGTTCTCCCAACCACTACTCTAGGCTGTCTTCCACCCAGTGTTTAAGCCATTGTGCTGGGTACTACATGGCAATCTCTGAAGTAAAATAATTTATGATTTCTTATTTAAATTTTTTTAAGATTTTATTTTTAAGTAATTTGTACAACGAATGTGGGCTCAAACTCCCACCCCCGAGATCAAGAGTCACACACTCCACCAACTGAGCCAGCCAGGTGCCTGATTTCCCATTTAAATTGATTAAGTAACACGTGGTCTTCTACAAGTATGCTAAGACAGAATTAACTCAATGTTCAATCCAAACAAGTATTAATTCATCATTTAATAGGTAATATTTGCATACTGTAATGGTTTATATATTATTATGGTATTATATTATTATTAAAAATTTATATTTAAAATTCACACTGGTCTATAACCCATGATTATAGTATGGACTCATTGAGTAGATTCTATTGAAATTGACATCGTGTGATGTTATCATCTTTAAAAATTTTTTTTAAATTTATTTATTTTGAGAGAGAGACAGCAAGCATGAGTGGGGTAGGGTCAGCGGGAGGGGGAGAGGGAGAGGGACAGGGAGAGGGGGGGAGAGAGAGAGAGAGAGAGAGAGAGAGAGAGAGAGAGAGAGAGAGAATCTCAAGCAGACTCCACACTGTTAGTGCAGAGACTGGCACAAGGCTCACACTCATAAACCACAAGATCATGACCTAAACCAAAAATGAAGAAACGGGTGCTTAACTGACTGAGCCACCCAGGCACCCCTGATGTTATCACCTTTATCATAATTTATATCTACTTCTACCACTAACATTATCAATAAAAGTTTCCCATGGGAGGAATGCAAACTGGTGCAGCCATTGTGGAAAATAGTATGGAGTTTCCTCAAAAAATTAAAAGTAGAATTAACATATAATCCAGTAATTCCACAACTGAGTACTCACCCAAAGAATAGGAAAACACTAATTTGAAAAGATATACATACCCGTTTCCTGCAGCATAAATAGCCAAATTGTGGAAGCAATCCAAACATCCATCGAGAGATGAATGGATAAAGAAGATGTGGTAACATAAACACACATACTGGAATATTACAGTCATAAAAAAAAATGAAATTCATTCTTGCCATTTGCATGGATGCAACATGGATAGATCTAGAGAGTATAATGCTAAGTGAAATAAGTCAGAGAAAGACAAATACCATATGATTTCACTTATATATGGAATTTAAGGAACAAAATAAGTGAACAAATTGAAAAAGACACAAAATACAGACTCTTAACTACAGAGAACAAACTAATGGTTACCAGAGGGGAGGTGGGGGGAGATGGGTGAAATAGGTGATGAGGATTAAGAGTAGACCTATTGTGATGAACACTGAGTAATGTATAGAATTAATGAATGTAATGTGCAGAACTGTACACTTGAAACTAATACTGTACATTAATTATACTAGAATTAAAAATTTTTTAATTAAAAATAAAAAACAAAAATAATGTTTAAATGTTTCCCATGGAGGGGTTTATATATGTGCATATATGTATATGTAAGAATATATGTTTCTGTTTATATTTATACATGCACTTCACACACAGTCCAATGATCTCATGCAATTTCTTTCCAGTTGTTAATATTTACTCTATTTCCCATTTCCTCTGCTGTTAGAACTTGCCTCGATATTCAAAATTAAGGACAGCTGGGGCATCTGGGTGGCTCAGCTGGTTAAGCGTCCAACTCTGGATTTCGGCTCAGGTCAAGATCTCATGGTTGATGGGATGGAGCCCTATGTCAGCCTCCATGCTGACAGCGTGGAACCTGCTTGCGATTCTCTCTCTCCCTCTCTCTCTCTGCCCCTCCCCCACTCATGTGTGTGTGCTCTCTCTCTCTCTCTCTCTCACAAAATAAATAAATTTTAAAAAAAGAGTTAAGGACAGCTGAATGAAATATTTCAAGGGGGAAATTTTAAACCACAAGAGAAGTAGTGGGAAGTAGTCTTAGTTGCCTATTTAGTTGAGCAGTAGAGTCTAGTCTTGTCCTTGGCCAAGAAGATTTTCATAAATGCCACCACATGATAGCAGCCCAAAAAGAGATCATGCAGATTAATATTATCCTTCTTTTTTTTTTAATGTTTTTTTATTTTTGAGAGAGAGAGAGACAGAGCATGAGTGGGGGAGGGACATAGAGAGAGGGAGACACAGAATCCAAAGCAGGCTCCAGGCTTCTGAGCTGTTTGCACAGAGCCCAACACGGGGCTGGAACTCATGAACCATGAGATCATGACCTGAGCCACCCAGGCACCCCTAATATTATCTTTCTGACACTGCTTTTCAGTTCCCTAGATGCATTGAATCCGCCGAAGAAGCATTAATAGAGCAGCTACTACTAAGCAGAGACTGGTTATGTCTCTGAAGTAACACAGTACATAAGCACAGGATCTGGAGTCAGGGGACCTGGGTTTGAACTCAATTCTGTCACTTATTGAATAATCAAGAGTAACTCAGTTAATCTTACAGCCTTTTTACGAATTTCATCTGACTTTGTCTTTGACCATTCTTCTTTTGTTCACTTCCCTCTAGTCCCATCTCTCCTACCATTCTTTCTATTCAATTCTTGAACACATCAAGAAGCATTCCCTTCTTCAGGCCTTTCTATGTCCTGTTTCCTCTGCCTGGAATATTCTTCCTCTGGAATCCCAAATGTCACATCATCAGAGAAGTTTTTCCTGATCATTCTAAATAGAGCAGCATTCATGGACATCTTCCATGTTCCCTGTCCTTTGTACCCTACTCAACTTTTCTGTAAGGGAATGACATACACCTATGTTTGTTTGTTGTCTGCCTCTCCCCACTAGTACAGAAACTCCACATTCACTATGTATCACCAATGTCTGTCAGAGTAGAGCATTCCTCAATACTTGTTGTTTCTTGGTATGCCTCCTTCTTTTCCTTTTTCTCAATTGTTTTTTAAATCCCGTATGAGTGAGATCATATGGTATTTGTCTTTCTCTGACTTATTTCCCTTAGCATAATACTCCAGCTCCATCCATGTCATTGCAAATGGCAAGGGTTCATTCTTTTTATAGCTAAGTAATATTCCATTGTATGTATATAAAATATATATACCACATCTTCTTTATCCATTCATCAGTCGATGGACACTTGGGCTGTTTCCATATTTTGGCTATTGTTGATAATGCTGCTATCAATCTCGGGGTTCATGTATCCCCTTGAATTGGAATTTTTGTTTTCTTTGGGTAACCAATAGTACAAATGCTAGGTTGTAGGGTAATTCTATTTTTAACTTTTTGAGAAACCTTCATACTGTTTTCCACAGTGGCTATACCAGATTACATTCCCATCAATGGTGCCAAGAGGGTTCCCCTTTGTCTACATCCTTGCCAACACTTTTGTTTCTTGTGTTGTTGATTTTAGGCATTCTGACAGGTGTGAGGTCACATCTCATTGTACTTTTGATTTGCATTTCCCTGATGATCACTGACCCTGAGCATCTTTTCATGTGTCTGCTCACTATCTGTATGTCTTCTGCCCATTTCTTCACTGGATTATTTGTTTTTTGGGGTGTTGAGTTTTGTAAGTTCTTTACATATTTTGGATACTAACCCCTTATCAGGTAGGTCATTTGCAAATATCTTCTCCCATTCCATGAGTTGCCTTTAAGTTTTGTTGATGGTTTCCTTTGCTATGCAGAAGCTTTCTATTCTGATGAAGTCCCAATAGTTTATTTTTGCTTTTGTTTCCCTTGCCTCAGGAGTTATATCTAGAAAGAAGTTGCTATAGCCAATGTCAAAGAAGTTTCTGCCTGTGTTCTCCTCTAGGATTTTTATGGTTTCAGATCTCACACTGGGTCTTAATTATAGAAAACAAACTGACGTGGATTATGGAGCACACTTGTTGTGATGATCCCTGGGTGTTATATGGAAGTATTGTATCACCACCTTGTACACTTAAAACTAAGTAAATAAATACTTATTGAATTAACTTTGTTTTGGTGTATGGCAATATAGTTCCCATCTAGTTCACATAGATGTAAAAAGTCAAATGATTATGTGAAAATACTTTGTAGAGTGCTACATAAATGATGGGGCTTCTGGGTGGTTCAGTCGGTTAAGCATCCGACTTCAGCTCAGGTCATGATCTCACAGTCTGTGAGCTCGAGCCCTGCGTCAGGCTCTGTGCTGACAGCTCAGAGCCTGGAGCCTACTTCAGATTCTGTGTTTCCCTCTATCTCTGCCCCTCCCCTGCTCACTCTCTGTCTCTCTCTGTCTCAAAAATAAATAAAAACATTTAAAATTTTTTTTGTTTTAAAAAGAGTGCTACATAAATGAGATGCTTTTCCTACAGTGAGGAGATTATTAAATGACATTTACATGGCTGTAGATTGTTTACAAAATGCCAAAGAATCCTAACTCAAAAGATCAGGAAGAAATTAGCCATATCACTCATATTTAAGCCCTAATATAGAAGCAACGACTAGGAAATGTAAAAGCCACTCATACTTGACTATTTTGAGAACTTTTTTTTTTTTTTTTTGCCATATCAAGAACTTGTTAGTTAACTAATTTTTAGGTCTTCAGAAAGTTAAATGTTTCAAAATTATGTTTCCTTCTCCAGAGCAATCACAAATCAAAATAACATCTTAAGTCAGTTACAAATGAAAATATTAAGAACAAAGTTGTTTAATCACTAGATTCGAAGAGCCAGAGCTCAGGCCAGTCTAATTTCTTATATTATTGTGTAATCTCTGCCACTTCTACTCTTACTGTAAAAGATTTACAGAAGGAGTGAAAGTTCTGAACAAAATAATTTTCTATTAGGGGGGTAACAACTTTAAACCTTACATCTTGATTTATTTCAGCTACTTACTGATTCCAGTCTTGTGCCATGTAATTGGATGATCTAAGGATACCTTGCCTTTTTGAGAGTAAGAAGTGTTTTTCATTTCCTCTGGAGCTCTGAGATCACTGGCTAGGAAAGGAAGAGGATTAATGATGAGAAAGAAGTCCTTCCCATTTCCTCTGCTGCCAGAAACTTATCTCATTATTAAAGGTTACAGATGGCTGAATGAAGAGCTTTCTTCCTTCCTTTCTTTCTAATAGACCACCCCATTTCAATTCCAAACAGTCTTCTCTAAACACATTACAATGAAACTGTCAAAAACCAAAATCAGAGAGAGAATTCTAAAAGCAGCAAGAGAAAAATAGATATTAAGCTATAGGAACCTCGATTAGGCTATCAGCAAATTTCACAGCTGAAACTGTACAGGCCAAGAGAGAGTGGAATAATAATCAGAGTGCTTAAAGAAAAAAAACAGTCAACCAAGAATACTCTATCCTCTAAAATTATTTTTCAGAAACGAAAGAGAAATAAAGACTTTCCTAAATGCAACTTAACTATGGCATAAAGATTAAAGGAGGGGCACCTGGGTGGCTCAGTCATTTAAGCTCCGACTTCAGCTCAGGTCATGATCTCACAGTCCATGAGTTCGAGCCCTGCGTCAGGCTCTGTGCTGACAGTTTGGAGCCTGGAGTCTGTTTCAAATTCTTTGTCTCCCTCTCTCTCTGCCCCTCCCACACCCTCTCTCAATAAAGGAATAAACATTTTAAAAAATCTTTAAAAAAAAAAAGATTAAAGGAAAACATCAGTAAAAATAACTATGGCTACTATAGCTTGTTAATAAATGTATAATACAAAAATAAGTAAACTGTGACTTCAAAAACATAAAAGTAGGGGAGGAAAAGGGTCAAGTTTGAGTATGAGATTGAAGTTAAGTTGCCATTGGCATAAAATGAACTGTTCTATGTTTTATGTAAACCTCATGGTAACCAAAAAGTAAAAACCTATAATAGATTCACAAAAGATAAAGACAAGGGAGTTAGAGCATACCACCATGGAAAATCACTAATTCACAAAGATAGTCAGCAAAAGAGGAAAACAAAGGAACAATGAGCTACAAAACAGCCATTAATTAATAAGCAATTAATAAGCAATTATTAAGATGGAATTAGTAAGTACTTACATATCAATTACAATAAATGTAAATGGAATGAATTATCCAATCAAAAGGCAAAGGCTGGAGCACCTGGGTGGCTCAGTCAGTTAAGCATCCCACTTCAGCTCAGGTCATGATCTCATGGTTTGTGAGTTCAAACCCCACATCAGGCTCTTTGCTGTCAGCAGAAAGCCCACTTCTAATCCTGTGTCTGCCTCTCTCTCTGCTCCTCCCTAACTCACGTGTGCACATACACGCACTCTCTTCCTCTCTCCAAAATAAACAAACATTTTTTAAAAAAGCAAAGGCTGGTGGGCTGAAAAAAAAAAAAAAAGAAAGAAAAGAAAAGAAAAACAAGACCCAACTATATGCTGTTTACAAGAGACTCACTTCAGCTTTAAGGACACACATAGGTTCAAAGGGATGGGAAAAGATATTCCATGCAAGTGGAAACCAAAAGAAAGCAGAGATAGATGTATTTATATCTGACAAAATAGACTTTAAGTCAAAAATGGTAACAAGAGACAAATAAGGTATGATAAAAGGATGAACTCATCTAGAATATGTAACAATTGTACATATATGCACCTAATGTCAGAACACTTAAATATATTGAGCAAACACTAAGAGATGTGAAGGGAGAAAAAGAAAACAATAATAATACAAGACTTCAATACTCCACTTTCAGCAATGTATAGATCATCCAGACAGGAAAATCAACAAGGAAATGGACATGAGCCATACTTTAGACCAAATGAACCTGACAGGCATAAACAGATATTCCATCCAACAGCAACAGAATACCTATTCTTCCTCACTGCACATAGAATATTCTCCAGAATAGATTATATGATAGGCCACAAAGCAAATCTAAGCAAATTTAAGAATTAAAACATATCAAGCATCTATTCCAACCACAATGCTTTGAAACTACAAATCAACAAGAGGAAAGCTAGAAAATTTACAAACATACAGAAAGTAAATAACACACTCGGGTCAAAGAAGAAATCAAAAAGTAAATCAAAATATCTTCAAACAAATGAAAATGGAACTACAACATAAGAAAAACTATGGAATGCTGCAAAAGCATTTCTTAGAGAGAAATTTATAGTGACAAATGCATATATTAAGAAAAACAAATATTCCAAATAAACAATCAAACTTCTTACTTCAAGGGACTAGAACTAAAAATAAGCCCAAAGTTAGCAGAAGTAAATAACAAAGATCAAACCAGAAATAAATAAAATAGAGATGAGAGAAACAGTAGAAAAGATCAACTAAAAACTGCTTTTTTAAAAAAATATAAACAAAATTGACAACTGATACCACAGAAATACATAGGATAGTAGAGGACTACTATGAACAATTATATGCCAACAAATGGGATAACCTAGAAGAAATGGATAAATTCCTAGAAATATACAACCTACCAAGACTGAATCATGAAGAAAAGAAAATCCACACAGACCACAATGAGCAAGGAAGATCAATTGGTAACAAAAAACTTCCCATCAGAGAAAAGCCCAAAAGCTGATGATTTCACTGGTGAATCTACCAAACAGTTAAGGAAGAATTAATGTCAATTCTCCCCAAACACTTAAAAAAAAAAAACTGAAACAGAGAGCAGTCCCAAATTCATTTTATGAGGCCAGCATTACCCTTACATTAAAGCCAGAAGAAGACACTGTAAGAAAACCACAGGCCAATAAGCCTGATCAACACAGACGGAAAAAATACTGAACAAAATACTAGGAAACTAAATTCCACAGCACTCCAAACCATACTCTATAATCAAGCTTCTATATTGCAAAAGAAATAATAAAATGAAAAAAGCAACCTACAGAATGAGAGAAAAGTTCTACAAACCATGTATCAGATAAGAGTTTAACATCCAGAACTTCTATAACTCAGTAACACAAAACAATCCAATTAAAAAATGGGCAGAGGAACTGAATAGACATTCTCCAAAAAAAAAAAAAACATACAAATGGCCAACAGATATATGAAAAGATGCTCAGCATCGGTAATCATTAGGGAAATGCACATCAGAACTACAATGAGCTATCACCTCACATCTGTTAGAATGGATATCACCAAAAAGACAAGAAATAACAAGTGTTGGTGAGGATGTGGAGAGGAGAGAACATTTGTGTACTGTTGATGGGAATATTAACTGATGCAATCACTACAGAAACAGTACAGAGGTTCCTCAGGAAATTAAAAAACAGAACTGCCGTTATGACTCAGCCATCTCACTTCTGGGTATATATCAAAAGGGGGGAAAAAACTGGATATTGAAAAGATATCTGCACACCCATGTTCACTGTAGCATTATTCAAAATATCCAAGATATAGAAACAACTTAAGGTCCATTCATGGATGAATGGATTTTTTTTAAATGTGATTATACACACACACACACACACACACACACACACACACACACACACATCATTCACATAAAGAGGAAGGAAATGCTGTCATTTGCTACAACATGGATGGACCTTGAGTGCATAAAGCTAAATGAGGTAAGTCAAACAGAGAAAGGCAAATACTATAAGGTATCACTTACATGTGAAATGTAAAGAAATCCCAAACTTGCAGAAACAGAATAGACTGGTAGTTGACAGTGGCTGTGGAGTAGGGGAATTGGGGATATGTTGGTCAAAGGATACAAATTGGCAGTTAGAAGAGGATTAAGTTCTGGAGATCGAAAGCATAGCATTGTGATTATAGTCAACAATACCGTACTATATTCTTCAAAGTTGCTAAGAGACTACGGCCTGAAGTCCAGAATTGTGATGCCTCCAGCTTTGGTTTTCTTTTTCAACATTACTTTGGCTATTCAGGGTCTTTTCTGGTTCCATACAAATTTTAGGGTTGTTTGTTGTAGCTCTGTGAAAAACGTTGGTGTCATTTTGATAGAGATTGCATTGAATGCATAGATTCCTTTGGGTAGCATTGACATTTTAACAATATTTGTTCTTCCAACGCATGAGCATGGAATGTTTTTCCATGTTTTCGTGTGTCTCTTCAAATTCTTTCATTAGTTTTCTATAGTTTTCAGCAAGCAGATATTTTACCAAAGCTGTATAATCAAGACAGTGTGGTACTGGCACAAAAACAGACATAGATCAATGGAATAGAATAGAGAACCCAGAAATGGACTCACAAATACATGGCCAACTAATCTTTAACAAATCAGGAAAGAGTATCCAGTGAAAAAAGACAGTCTTTTCAACAAATGGTGCTGGGAGAACTGGAGAGCGACATGCAGAAGAATGAACCTGGACCACTTTCCTACACCATACACAAAAATAAATTCAAAATGGATGAAAGACCTAAATGTGAGAGAGGGGAAACCATCAAAATCCTACAGGAGAAAATGGACAAAAACCTCTTTGACCTAGGCTGCAGCCACTTCTTACTTGACATATCTCTGAAGGCAAAGAAAATAAAAGCAAAAATGAACTACTGGGATCTCATCGAGATAAAAAGCTTCTGCACAGTGAAAGAAACAATCAACAAAACTAAATGGCGGTCGATGGAGAAGATACTTGCAAATGACATATCGGAAAAAAGGTTAGTATCCAAAATCTATAAACAAATTATCACACTCTGGGAATGCAAGCTGGTGCAGCCACTCTGAAAAACAGTATGGAGGTTCCTCAAAAAGATAAAAATAGAACCACCCTACGACCCAGCAATGGCAGTACTAGGCATTTATCCATGGGATACAGGTGTGCTGTTTCAAAGGGACACATGCACCCCCATGTTTATAACAGCACTATCAACAATAGCCAAAGTATGGAAAGAGCCCAAATGTCCATCAATGGATGAATGGATAAAGAAAATGTAGTATATATATACAATGGAGTATTACTCAGCAATCAAAAAGAATGAAATCTTACCCTTTGCAACTATGTGGATGGAACTGGAGGGTATTATGCTAAGCAAAATTAGTCAGTCAAAGAAA